TTACTTCCAAGGGTCTCCTATTGAAGGATTGGCAAGGTATTATAGTGGCTGACTAGAGGGTGGCAGAGTATAGGATGACACACTATCATCCTCTGATATGGACAATATACAACTACACAACCAGAACCCATGCACATCCAAAAAAACAGCTTTTAAATAGCTGCCCACTTTAGTGACCACTATGCATGAAAGGGCTAGGACAAAGAACAAGTTGCTTCCAAAATCTAAATGTTTGCCTGCAGCAATTTACTGTAAGAATTTGTTTTCATTTTTGGACTCAAAAAGGGAGTCAAAACTAATTTCAGATTTCATAAAATGCTAACCCCAAGCTTAGGCCCAGAATTCATTATTTGTAAACAATACTAATATACTATATTAGTTCTCTGTTTAACATGGCAGTTATTTGGTAATGACTTATTTATGATTTGAAAGATAAAGTTTAGGACTGTATGGTCTTGACTTTAGACTTTACTGTCAAGACCTGAAATTTACTTGTAAAACAATGACTTTGCCCCACATCTACTAATTGGCTTCTTATAAACCTTTTGTTCATAAGAAGCTGCCAGCATATTTCTTATGTTTTAATTGTAAACATGACAAGCATGGCCTGGTACATACAGTAAGCCTATTAAAAAGAATGTAACTATGTCCTAGTCTTCATTTTTGAGAGAGTAATTTATGAGACTTTTCAAGTAAGGAGACAGCTGGAGAAAGCTGGACGGAAGCGGAACGGAAGGTGAAGGAGATTTTAAAGGACAAACTGCAAATTCATCAAGAAATAGAGATGGAACGGGTTTACAGAGTCGGGAAACTTTTTGATCGTGGACCGAGAGCGGTGTTGGTCAAGCTGATGAAGGAGAAAGATAAGACAAACATTCTGCAGCAAGCAAAGAAGCTTAAGGGAACTAATATTTACATTAACGAAGATTACCCCGAGTCTGTGAGGAAGAGAAGAAGAGAGTTGATGCCGATATTAAGAGCGGCTAGGGTGAGAGGAGAAATCGCGTTTCTGCGATACGACAAATTAGTGACCCGACCTCGGAACCAGAATCCTGGACCCATGACCAGCTCGCCAAGGCAAGGAGAGTATGAAGGGGCCACTGGACCCTCAGCGGTGTGAAACATGCAGGTATATTGATATCTGCGATGGCAGATAAGCTCTGGCACCACCAACAACAAGCATGACCCATGGACGATATGAGGCAAGTGATTTGTTACAGAAGTTAATAGTTTTTGAGGGACTGGATCTGGAACTGAACACATTTGGAGACACTGAAATTCATTATCATGAACCGGACGATGGCTTTGACCCTGAAAAAAACTTTTTCAAGAACTTTGAAAATAAC